CCCCCAGGTTGGGAGAAAATCTTTGCTGTAGTCCACCCTCCTTTAAGAAAGAAAGAAGAAGAAAAAAAGAAAAAAACCTACAACACTGCTCTGAGAACCTCAGTTCTCTTTGGTCGGTGCCCTTCCTGGGTCTGAATGCCCCTACACTGAAAGGTGATGATGGGAGGGGACAGGAGGTGTGGGCTCCAATCTGTGATCTGCGGGGAAAGCCCAGGGGGCTAAAGTGAGGCCCCCGTCGGGGCGGGCCGATTTGGCAGCTCCGGAGGCGCCGCTGCACCGAGAGCTTGTTTTGTTTTTATTTTTAAATCGGCAAGGCAAGAACACCTTCAGCTAAAAAGAGGAAAGTTGGGGTGGGCAGTGGGGAGGACTTGGCCTAGGAAATTCACCGCAGGGCGTTCTAGGGAAGCCATTGATGCGGGGCTCCCTGGTACCACCACTAAAGGACAGACTTTTTTTTTTTCCCCCCCCCCGCAAAACCAAGGGTGTAAAAAGGGCGCATTCCCTTTGGGAGTCCAGTCCCGTTGGAATTGAGGCTTCCCACCCCCACTCCTCCTTTTTCTCTCCGAGGCTCCGCGGCTCCCCCACCAGCCAGCTCCTCTGGTCCTCATCCCCAGGGCCCGCCAGGGTTTCAGCCATCCGTTCCCTAGAACCTAGATCAATCAAATAGGGGCAGATTGGCAGTTCACACTCCCTCCTGCAACACCTCCCATCCAATTCTTCTTTCTTTCTTTGGAAAAGAGAAAAGAGAAAAAAGTGAAATGCGCCTCCTCGTCTGCAGTTTCTGGGGAATGGTGGTCGGGATTATCTAGTTCTGAGTAATCCATTTAGACAACCTTCCAAAAAAGGACGCCTATTTGGGGATAAATAAATTTACAGGAATATACATGCAGAGGTTACAGGGAACGTGTTGATAACAGGTATGGAGGCTGGGATGGACGAGCACACACGGGCAAAATGGCCAAAGGTCACCTTTATTCAGATATATATTGTGCACCTACAAAGCAATCTGGTAGTTTCCTTTTCCTCTTTGCTGTTGCTATCCAGCCCAACGCCTGCTCTCGACTTACCTGCCGCTCCCTTCCAAAGAAAACTCAGGTCCCGCGTGAAAAGCAAAGGACCCACATTCTCCACGTCCAGCGAAAAATACTGATTACCGAGGAACAAGGAGCAGCGGGGAGCCCAGGGCGCGGAAACCTGAGCGTCTGGCCAGGGAATGAGGTCTTGTGGGATTACCTCAAGGGGACTGGGCTGGGGAAACTGGAAGAGAGAAGGGGTATCCCCTCCACTGATCACCTCCAGAGATAACACTGCCCTGGGCTGACATCTACGCGGGACGCTGAGGTTCACCCGCGTCCAACTCTTTAAGGATATGCGTCCCTGTTGAAAATGGATTTAGACAACTTTCTCACTTTTGCTAAAGAATTCGGGGTGGGAAGGCTGTGCCTCTTAATTCGCCAGGGAAAAGGAACGCGTCCGCCCTCACCCACACCCGGAGATGGACCCCACCCCCACCCCCCAGCGCAGCCCCGGAGCCCGCGAAACTCGCCCCGCGCCAACTCTGGGCTCTGGGCTCCGTGCGTGAGTGTTCTAGGAGGGGAGACTGGCGGCCCCCGCTGGGGAAATTGAGCCCGGCGCCGGCCCGGACGCTCCAAGAGGGAAAAGGGGGGATCCCAGACCTCGGGTTTTCAAGGTCCCCCCTTGGGATTCGCTCGCACCTCCGTGTCTCGACTCCTGGCGGCAGACCTCGCGGCGCTGGCTCAAGAGCCGGTACCAAAAGCACATCGCGAAAGCTGGGAAGGGCTGGCGGTTGCCTGACGCGTGTGTCTTGACCTTCGCCCTTTTTCCTCTGACTCCTATGAGATTGAGGACCACGGCACATTTAGCTCTGGGCGAAAGGTTCTGGCTAAAAATGAGCCAAGAGCCTCAGTTTCCCCTCTGTAACCTGAACATCGGGAGCGGGTCCCTTTCCCTCTAACTTTGGCTGAGGTCCTCTGGCCCGGGACTGCGAGAGTCTTCCTGGGACGGGGAGGATGGGTCAGCGCAACCCAGGAAAGTCAAGTGGGGGAGTGAGCGCCGGAGGCCCCTGAAGAAATACAGGACCAACCACTCCTGAATTGACGGTGCCCACGCGCCAGATTTGGCCCGATCTTGGCACACCAGGCAACTCTTTCACTTGGGGGGCAGGGGACCTTCTAAGTCTTCTGGACAGAATGGAAATGTCAGGCATCTGAGCGCTCTTTTTTGCTGCCCAGTTCCCTTGTAGATACACATCACCCAAGCTTTCCTAACTATGCTGTTCTGATCTGAGATGGATCCGCACAAGTGGGAATATCGCATAGAAAATTCCTGCAGAGATAAATTTCAGCCCCAAAGCTGTCCTGACTGAGTGAAACACACTACCACCACCATCATCACCACCTTCCCCCGCGCCTCGCCACCAACCATCAAAGTTTTCCCGCAGTTTCTCGGAGTTTGAGACAGTTTCTGAGCTTTTGGCGCCCCCTCTGGAAACAGCTGGAAATTGCAGCCCATTTTAAGTCGACTGTTGTGTAGTTTACAAAAAGATAAAAGAATACAAAAAAAAAAAAAAATACTTGCACCAAAAGGGCATAAAATGTATAAAGCACCACCGTTTGTGATTCAAAGTGTTGCTGTATATCTCTTACTGAATAATTGTATTAAAGATATATTTATGCATGAGCAGATATATTCACAAATATTTAAATATTCCAAAATATCTTAAAGTCACAGTCGTTTTCACTGCCATTATGCCAGTAAACGTGGTAATTTCAGTAAAATACAGCTAAGTCCAGAAGCCTTGGTTAACACATGTGCCCGATGGTTTCTGAGTCTCCTGCTGGATCAGGTGTCTGCAAATCACAATTACACACCACAAATGCCCCCATCCCCGGGACTCAGAAATGTGTCCACACTATGCAGGACTTTTTTTCTTTCCCAAGAAATGACCTTGTCGCTCTTACGTTTTCCGAGTGTAATGAGAGAGCCAGGAATATGAGGCTATTGTTTGCAAATCTCCTAAACTCCTAAACAAACTATAAGATACTAAAGATTGTTCAACATCCAATGCCAGGGAGTTAAATTCGTTTAAAAAGAAAATCCTGTTGAGCAGGGTAGACCTTCCTATCTTATCAAAAGTTTCTTTACCTATGAGAAATATCCACTTTAGGAGAAATGAAATTTTCAAAAACACTTCATTCGTTTAATATTGTAAGAGTGTCCGCACTTGGCAAAAGTGGGAGAGCTGTCTTTGATATTAGGTGAGCTGATTCACAATAGCAGTAATCTAATTCAAGGCGAATTCCTGCAAAAGCAAGAAAGGGGGGAGTAAAAATTATGATTTTTCTATAGTTGTGCGTTTATTTGTGATTTTTTAAGGCATGTGATCCGCAGGCGACTAAGATTTTTCTTCTGTTCCAGAACAGATAATTCCGCATTTACTAACCTGGCTCTCAGGAGTTCGAGTAAACAGAGAGATTGATTGTGCTCAAATAGTACTTGAAATACATCAGAGTCACCTCCACGGCCTTCCTCAGAACTCCCACCTGTGTACTCGTTTGAAAGGGCACAACTAAAATCGGAATGACTGGCTCTTCGCCCCTCCAGGTGTCCTGAAAGGAGAGCGAAAGCGGGCAAGCAGCAGGGCTCCACCAAAGTGGACTGTACTTTCGGCTGTGGTGCCGATTTGTTCCGAGTTTTACAAACCCAGGGACCGGCCTCAGACTCGGGGCCCGGGACAGCCGCATTCGCAAAGTTCGATCGCAAAGCCAGAGCAGTGTGCAAACTTCTTTTCCAGCGTCAATTCTGCTGACGTTTTGGACTCAGGAGGCAAAGAGCCGAACGTCAAAGCAGAAACCCAGTCACTGAGGGGTGTCGACGGGGTGGGGGTTGGGGGGCCGGAGGAAAGACTCGTCAGAGTTCAAGGTCGGTCGGGGAGGTGCACTGCAAGCCCCCGAGAGCACGGGGCTGCCGCGTTGCCGCCGCCACCGCCGCAAGCCTTCTCCCGGACTTAGCTTTGGTTTTCATTGATTCCGTTTGCAATAGCGCAGCAGAATCCCGACCAGCCGCACCGGCCCCGGCGAACCCGAGCATGTTAATCTATTTATATGGATTATTACAGAGAAACAGCGGGCGTTGAGTCACCAAAACATTTGCTCCAAAAGACCATTTCTAAGCACTTTTGGAAGCGGGCAGGCTCCAGGCACTTAAACGGGGATACACGAGCGGCGGCTTTTCGAATACTGCAAACTCTAGCTGAGTCCCCGATACTGCGGAGAGAGCAGCGAAAAGAAAAGTCGCGGTGGGAGTAGATCCTAGACACACACACACACACACACACACACACACACACACACACACACAGAGGGGGGGGGGGACGCGGAGATGGTACCAAATTCTGACATTCAGAGAGTAAGGCAAACTTACACACTTGGACGTCCCGGGTCCCCCGCCTTCCCCGCAGCACCCCCTCCCCCCACCCGGCCCTCCACCCTGGGGCTGCGCTCCCCTCCCCTCTCCTCCCTCTGGTCTCGTCACCCAGCCCACAGCCACAATCCTCCTCCCCCTCCAAAATCGGATCCAATCAGCTGTTTGCCAGCCCGGGGACTGCTGTGCTGTGATTGGCTGAACGTCTCTAAGGTGAGGGGCAGTATTTATTAAAGAGACCCGGGGCTGGGAGTTGGAGAGCCGAGAGCCGAGCTCGGAACTGACTGCAAACTTCAGTGGCGCGGCGACTCACCCGTTTCACCCCGGGAACTTTCCTTGGCAGGAGGAAAAGCGAAGGGGTGCAAGTGCCCCACTTTTGCTTTCTTCCCTTCTCCTCTTCCTCTCCAATTGGTCTTCCCCATTTGGAGCGGGCAGCTGCGGACCCGCCACCCATCGCCTAGCTAAGTGCTCGCTGCTGCAGCCAGGTGACGCGCCAACTTCTTGGGAGCCGCTCGCTCCGCGTCCGCGTCCGGGCAGCCGAGGGGAGAGGAGCCCGCGCGAGTCCCCGAGCCGCCGCGGCTTCTCGCCTTTCCCGGCCTCCCGCCCCCTGCCCCGGGCCTGCGTATGAATCTCCTGGACCCCTTCATGAAGATGACCGACGAGCAGGAGAAGGGCCTGTCCGGCGCTCCCAGCCCCACCATGTCCGAGGACTCGGCTGGCTCGCCCTGCCCATCAGGCTCCGGCTCCGACACCGAGAACACGCGGCCCCAGGAAAACACATTCCCCAAGGGCGAGCCTGACCTGAAGAAGGAAAGCGAAGAGGACAAGTTCCCTGTGTGCATCCGCGAGGCGGTCAGCCAGGTGCTCAAGGGCTACGACTGGACCCTGGTGCCCATGCCGGTACGCGTCAACGGCTCCAGCAAGAACAAACCGCACGTCAAGCGGCCCATGAACGCCTTTATGGTGTGGGCGCAGGCGGCGCGCAGGAAGCTGGCCGACCAGTACCCGCACCTGCACAACGCGGAGCTCAGCAAGACGCTGGGCAAGCTCTGGAGGTAGGGCCCGGCGAGGGGCGGTGCGGTGGGGTGGGCTCCGCTGCAGCTGGGGGTGCTGGCCTGGGCTGAAGGTCCTTGCCCCGCCCCCCACGGCAGGGAGTTGCCGTTCCCGGAGCCAGCGCGCGCGGAGGAAGGGGGGTGGTTACTTTGGCTCTAAATTGGACCAAGTTCTTGAGATTTGAGGGAGACAGCTGAGGACAGGCTTTTAGAAGACAGGAGGAGGGCAATGCCAGCTAGTCGCCTTGGAGTTAAATGGTGGTGGGGGGTTGCCTCACCCTCCCAGAAACTGCACCCTTTCGTGCAGCCGACACTCAAGGAGATGGGGGAGGGGGGGGGCTGAGGCTGGAAGAGACCCCTGGCAGGAATGGGGGAAGGAGGGAGGTTGCTGGGAATGGGGATTGGGAGTTGGGGAAAACTTCTCCAGCTTAAGTAATTATCCGGAAAGTTTTTTTTTTTGGGGGGGGGGGCGCATAACTCCCGTAGCAAAGATGTTCAGAGCGACAGCAGTGGGGAGCTGCTTTCCTCTCCGGGGTTTCCAAAATAGAAGGAGAGGGGGTGGGGCGCGAGGAGTGACCTCTCAGGTCGGACTACAAGAACTCAAAATTTTCTTTGCTTTTACTTTTACTTAAAAAAAAAAAAAAAAGTTGTGAGCTGTAACATTGACTGGAAGACAGGGACAGGAGGATGTGTAGGAAGGTGGCGGGGTGGTGGGGGCCTGACACCTTGCTGAGTTCACTGACTTCCCCCTCTTTTTATCTGCGCCCCCCCCCCCCCCCGCCAGACTGCTCAACGAGAGCGAGAAGCGGCCCTTCGTGGAGGAAGCAGAGCGGCTACGCGTGCAGCACAAGAAGGACCACCCGGACTATAAGTACCAGCCACGGCGGAGGAAGTCGGTGAAAAATGGGCAGGCCGAGGCCGAGGAGGCCACCGAGCAGACGCACATTTCTCCCAACGCCATCTTCAAGGCGCTGCAGGCCGACTCACCGCACTCCTCCTCGGGCATGAGCGAAGTGCACTCCCCTGGTGAGCACTCGGGTGAGTCCCACCCCGGCTCCAGGCCAAGCCACCCGCAGCCCCCCCACTGGGCACATACCCAGCAGCACCACCCACCCTCCTAGGAGGTTCTATTGGGGGAATTTGTGCTCCCCAGACGGGAAGCCCTAACCTTTGCACCTAATCCCGCTCCCCATGCTGCCCAGGGTCCCAGCACACACATGCACACATACACACGTGCGCACCAGCTTAGTCCCAGCATCCTAAGAGTAATTTTTTTTTTTTTATTGCTAAGTAAAATGCCTTTACAACTTTACGAACTTACCCTCTTCGTTTCTTTGCTCCCCACCCCAAAAGCACACACAGCCGCTCTTCTACAAGTAGCAATTTGGTCTTCCGTACCCTTGGGGCCTCAGACCTTCCCCTGATAAAAGGAGGCTGCTAAGTGTGTACCCGCAGGTTAATCATTTGGCGACTTATCTTTGGTGCAGGTCCCTCCCCGCTCCTGCGCGGGTCCTTATTACACCTTAGCAACAAGGCAGGGTCCCAGGAAGGTTCCTAAGACTAAGGCCTCTGCACAGCCCTCTTTGACTTTCCCCTTCTTTTTCTTTTATTTCCTGCAGGTCAATCCCAGGGCCCACCGACTCCACCCACCACCCCCAAAACCGACGTGCAGCCGGGCAAGGCTGACCTGAAGCGAGAGGGGCGCCCCCTGCCAGAGGGAGGCAGACAGCCCCCCATCGACTTCCGTGATGTGGACATCGGCGAGCTGAGTAGCGACGTCATCTCCAACATTGAGACCTTCGATGTCAATGAATTTGACCAGTACCTGCCGCCCAATGGCCACCCGGGGGTGCCGGCCACGCATGGCCAGGTCACCTACACCGGCAGCTATGGTATCAGCAGCACCGCAGCGACATCCGCCGGCGCCGGCCACGGGTGGATGTCCAAGCAGCAGGCACCACCGCCGCCCCCGCAGCAGCCCCCGCAGGCCCCTCAAGCCCCCCAGGCACCCCCGCAGCAGCAGGCGGCGCCCCCACCGCAGCAAGCAGCGCCCCCACAGCAGCAGCAGGCGCATACGCTGACCACGCTGAGCAGCGAGCCTGGGCAGTCCCAGAGAACCCACATCAAGACGGAGCAGCTGAGCCCCAGCCACTACAGCGAGCAGCAGCAGCACTCGCCGCAGCAGATTGCTTACAGCCCTTTCAACCTCCCTCACTACAGCCCCTCCTACCCGCCCATCACCCGCTCGCAGTACGACTACACCGACCACCAGAACTCGGGTTCCTACTACAGCCACGCAGCGGGCCAGGGCTCTGGTCTCTACTCCACTTTCACCTACATGAACCCCGCCCAGCGCCCCATGTACACCCCCATTGCCGACACCTCGGGGGTCCCGTCCATCCCGCAGACCCACAGCCCTCAGCACTGGGAACAACCCGTCTACACACAGCTCACCAGACCATAAGGAGACCTTAAACAAAGGGCGATGATGGCCGAGATGATCATACAAATAATCCAAGAAATAAATAACCAAGCAGAATTTCCTTTGGACATTTTTTTTTTCCTGTTCTCTTAAAGACACTTAAGCTAAAGGCAACTCGTACTCACATTCCAAGACAGAAATGTTACCTATCCAAACGCAGTACCAACTTGTTGTGAATCAGTGGCCAGGCCACTCTTGGCTAGATGGACCAGCAGCATTGAAGAGAAACCGGACTTAAACTTCCGAGCAAGTGTGGAGAATGACGGAGAGTCCTGCGTGCGACCAGTTTGCTCAATTCTCCCTGCCAGCTTGGACTTTGTAATTATTTTTTAGCAGTAATTAAAGAAAAAAAAAGTCCTCTGTGAGGAATATTCTCTATTTTAAATATTTTTAGTATGTACTGTGTATGATTCATTACCATTTTGAGGGGATTTATACATATTTTTAGATAAAAAATTAAATGCTCTTATTTTTCCAACAGCTAAACTACTCTTAGTTGAACAGTGTGCCCTAGCTTTTCTTGCAACCAGAGTATTTTTGTACAGATTTGCATTCTCCTACAAAAAAAAAAGAAAAAAAGATAGAAAAAAAAGTTTTAAAAAGTGTGTCATAATATTAACATAAAAAAAGATAAGCAGAATTGTGTTATGTGATCAGTTTTGGGGGTAAGCTTTGCTTAATTCCTCAGGCTTTCCAATTCAAGGAGGAGCTGCCTTAAAGAAATAATGAAAGCCTTATTTTGCAAATAGAGTAAATAAATAGTCTAGGAAGCATTTGGTAAGCTTTATCCTATATATATATTTTAAACAAGAGGGAAACACCTTGAGCCTTAAAATCATGCTGCTGGCAATACTTGCGCTCTATTTAGCAGGTGTCCTCCTGCCTTTGCTTGTTCCCTGCAGTCTTAAGACAGAAGTGAAAGGTGAGCAAAGGAGAAGGGGTCTGTTTGGGGAATGTAACAGCAGCTAAGAAGTGCCCCAGTGCACTGCCCCCCTGGTTGCCTGCCCGGCCCATGTGGACCGCAGATGCTGGAGTCTGTTTGCTCAGACATCACCTGTGCCTCTCTGAACACCAGCAGTTAACCTTCAAGACATTCCACGTGCTAAAATTATTTATTTTGTAAGGAGAGGTTTTAATTAAGAAAAGAAAATCTTCCTCCTTTTTTTTTTTTAATTTTTATTTACTGTCTTTTAAAATAGGTTGTTGGAGCCTTCCTCAAAGGGTATGGTCATCTGTTGTTAAATTATGTTCTTAACTGTAACCAGTTTTTTTTTTTATTTATCTCTTTAATCTTTTTTTATTATTAAAAGCAAGTTTCTTTGAATTTCTCATCCTAGATTTGTACAAATGCCTTTTTGTCCGTCCTGGTTTTTTTTTTTTTTTTTCTCTCTCTTTGTTGTTTTTGTTGAAAACAAACTGGAAACTTGTTTCTCTTTTGTACAAATGAGAGGTTGCAAATGTAGTGTATCACTGAGTCATTTGCAGTGTTTTCTGCCACAGATCTTTGGGCTGCCTAAATTGTGTGTGTGTGTGTGTGTGTGTGTGTGTGTGTRTRTRTRTGTGTGTGTGTGTGTGYGCRCACAAAATAATGCAAGCAAGTGTCATCATATTCCCCTGCACTTCTCTTGCAGAGACAGAAGATGCAGAAAAGGAATCAGCCCACTGACAGACCTTAATCTTTGATTACTGCTGTGGCTAGAGAGTTTGAGGATTGCTTTTTAAAAAAGACAGCAGACTTTTTTTTTTTTTATTTAAGAAAAAGATATATTAACAGTTTTAGAAGTCAGAGTCAGTAGAATAAAATCTTAAAGCACTCTTATAATATGGCATCTTTCAATTTCTGTATAAAAGCAGATCTTTTTTTAAAAAAAAAATATTTCTGTAACTTAAGAAACCCGACATTTAAAATCATATTTTCTCTTTAGGTAAGGTTTGGTTTGTGTTTGTGTTGTTTGTTCCGCTTGTTGTTTCCCTCCAAACCTTTTGTTCTCTCTGTGAAACTTACCTTTCCTTCCTTTTTTTTTTTTTTGTATATTATTGTTTACAATAAATATACATTGCATTAAAAAGAAAATGGACCTATGGATTTATTTATCTGCTTCTGTAGTTAAAAGGGTGATTGGAGGGATTGAAGCACTGATAAGATTATAAAATGCCGATCACTGGTGTTTTTGCTTTCCCAAGCTTCCACAGTCCTGACAGTCACTGAGGAAGAGACTATGCACCCCCCAGACTCTAAGGACACACATCACAGAAAGTGCCACCCTAATGGGTGACACAGAGAAAGACATGTCAGGAGTTGCCCACTCTGGCAAAATGCTTGTGGTTTTAACCTTGTGCTTTACAGGGAAAGCTGTTCCCTGGTGGAGGTCAGAGGGAATCCGAATATTAGACCAGAAATCAGCAGCTTGTCCGAGAGACACAATGCCAGAGGGGGTGACTTCCCTCGTCTGAACACCATATGGCAAACTTTATCTTGTTACTATGAACACACACCACAGAAGTGGGGTGCCCACTTTTCCACGGCAAAGGGAGCTGGAATAAAAGTGGGTCTGCAGGGGACCAGAGGGAAGCCTGTCCTGTTAACCCATCAAATGATTCAGGTCTTTCCGGATTTCTCTGCAGAGACAATGGGAGGAGATGACCTTATTTTTCTGTTCCCTTCAGTTTAACTCATTCTGAGCAGATGCAAAGCCATCCTAGAAGAAATAGAACCTAATCCTGTTTTCCTTGGCCCCAATCTGATGGGGAGTTTCCAGGTTCAGAGAAACCTTCAGGTCATTTTTCATTAAACAGATGAAATCACTCCTTCCCTCCCCTCTCCTCTAGCCCCCCCCCCCCCAGCTGATGGGGGAGGTGTGTCTAAGAAGGTGAGTTGCCTGCACCACCTGGGGCTGGTTTTACCACTGGGCCTGTCTCTGACAGTCTTCAGCAGCACCAGGCCCTCTGCTTCTGCTGTTTGGATCCCTGGCCTGCATCCCAAGGCAGGATCATGGCAACCAGGAAAATGGTAGTTATCAAATCGGGACAACATTAGGACTCGGCCCCCTTTGCAAATGCCTTCAACAAACATTGATTGAGGGCCTGTGATCTGCGGGGGACTATGCAAATCCCTCCCTACCCCGAAGACACCAGATTCTGCTCCTAGTTTGTGCCAGAGCTTCTATTCGCTTACGCCCACAGTTTCCCTGTCTCTCTCTCTCTCTCTCTCTCTCTCTCTCTCTCTCTCTCTCTCTCTCTCTCTCACACACACACACACACACACACACACACACACACAAATTCCTATTAAAAAGACTCCGTGGTGTTCACTACTGTCCCACCATGACCGCCCCCTTCCCTACCAAATCTATACTGTTTGCTGGACTGTTCTTTCTTTTTCTACAATAGAGGCCTAAGGTAGGCCTTCTTAGAGCCGACTGCTCTATGCAGACGTAAACTTGTTAGGTGATCTAAGGCAAGTTGCTTAACTTGCCTGTGCCTCAGTTTGCCTTTTTGCCAAGAATGTTTACAATCACTCTTCCATGTAATAGGGTTGTTATTGGTGTGATCTGGGGCTAGGAATAGTCTGGGAATCCACAGCATTCCGACTCTCTTGATCTGCACARCAATCCTTTTGTATTAGAATTCAGTGAGTGACACTCAGGAAAAAGGGTTGTCACAAGGTCCCCAAGTGGCTCTGATACACAATAAAATTCAGGAGACCCTGGAGTGCAGGGAGAGAATTCTTCAGAACTTCAGTTACTCCTCTCCACCAAATACAGGCAAAGCCTCATATTACCAGATTATAAAATAGAGGGAATTTTCGCTCTAAATCCAGAAACACAGAGCTTATCACTCTAGCAACAATAACACCCTGGTTGTCAAGCTAGAAAAGAGTCCTCCACAACAGAGAAGGCTTGAATTTAGACCCAAGGTTATTTGTTTATTGCACTAAAAAAAAACAAAAAAACTTTTCTTCTTGAACTATTTTAACAAAAAGGGAATTTTTTATAAACAAGGGAATAAAAACAAACTCCTTTGAAATCATCTTTTCATTCATTATTAAAACAGAACTATGTGGGCTAGTTTGAGCTGGGTGTTTGACTTTTCCACTTTGATTCCATCTTGTCCCTTATGGTCCCCTGATTTCCAAAATGAGCATTTGGAGGCACCACTGTGACACTTTTTTATGTTAACTTGATTGATGAACTAACACTATAGCCAGAGTCAGATTTACTATAAAGCCTAAGCTTCAGAACCCCTTAAGGCTCTGTCTTTCACCTCTTATTTTTTAAAATTTACATTCTTTTTCTTAAAGAATCCCTCCTTAAAAAAAAAAAAAAAAAAAAAAGACAATTGAAACTTCAAGCCCCACAAAACTGGGTCTATCTTGACCTTCGCTGGTGGCCAGCAAAACATGGCAGCCGAGGTGGCAAACAAGATCCTTTCTATTTGTTCTCAACAGCACCTGACACATTGTAGATTCTTAATTAATATCCACCTTGCCTCCTGTTTGTGAGTCGGATGGACTGCCACAGCACCCCTGGTTGAGACTCTCCACCATGACACTCGATCACTTGTCCTCACACAAGTGTATCACTGAGACTGAAATGGTCCCAACTCCTTCAGTGGTATTACCGAGGGGTTAAATAAGGTAAAGCACACGAGAAACATGAGTGACCTGCCCCCACATCCTCATAACCCCTCTCTCTCTCTCTCTCTCTCATCATTTCTTCTTCTCTTTTCTCCTGTCACCTCTCTTCAACATGTTCATAGGATCCCCTGCTGGGCCCAGACTGGGCTGTTCCTCTTGGATCCTTCACAAATTAGAACGACTTTACTTTGGATTTCTGGAAAATATTTCTTTTTAGAACTAACAAAACATGGGCAGACAATCTCGGATTTGCATTCAATGGAAAAAAAAAAACAGGTCTACATGTGGGCTGATGCACGTATTGACGAGACGTGATCTCTTAAACTTTAAGGATTTTACATTAAAC